TTAATCTCACATATTTTACAAAACATAACTCCAAATGGCTTCTATATCTAAATGTATAATGTAAAACGATCAAACTTGTAGAGGAAAAGAAGAGAAAATCTTTGTGACCTGGAGTTTGATGGAATTGTTCTTAAACAGGACACCTAAAGGATGACCCACAAAAGAATGAAATAATAATAATACTTTATCAACATTAAACACTTTTTCTCCGTGAAAGACATTCTATGAGAGTGAAAAGATAAGCTACGTATTAGGAAAAAATAGTTGCAAATAACATATCTGACAGAGGAGTTATACATCGAATACATAAAGAATGCTCTAAACACAGATAAAACAATCCAATTAATAAAGGTGCCAAAACCTTGAACAGATCTAACAAAAAAGATATTCAGATGGAAAATAAACATGGGAAAAGTTATTCAATGTCATTAACCAATATGGAAATACAAATTAAAACCACAATGAGATTTACTATGTATCTAATAAAATGCTTTTAAAAGAATTAAATGAAACACACTGGTAATAGCAAGTGCAGGTGAAAATGCAATACAATGGATCTCTCATGCATTGCTTGTGGAGATGTAAAATGGCATAGCCATTATGGAAAACAGACAATTTCTTATAGAGCTCAACAGTGCTTTTCATAAAACCCAGTAATCTCATCCCTGACTGTTTATCATAGGGCAGGAGATGGCAAACTGTATCCTAGGAACTAGCGCTCTATTTTCTTAATAATGTTTTATTGGATGTGAGTCACACCTTTTTATTTATGTATTGTCTATCATTATTTTGGCTCTATAACTGCAAAGTTAGGTAGTTCTGGCAGAGGCCATATGGTTCACAACCCTAAAATACTAAACATATGACCCTTTAAGAACAAGTTTGCCGTTCAAGTAAAACATTGCACAAAATTGTCCATCATAGCTTTATGTGTAATAGCCAAAAAAGTAGAAGCAACTCAAATGTCCTCAGATGAGTGAAAGAATAAACAAACATGTTACATCCATACAATGGAGTGCTTCACAGCAGTTAAAGGAAATTATTTATAATGCAACAGCTTGGCTACATGTCAAGGACATTATCCTGTGTGAAAAATATCCAAATCAAAAAGTTGACTTACTGTATAATCCAATTTATACAATACTCAAAAAGACTAAATTACAGCTATGCAGAACATACTAGTGATGGCTAGCAATGAGGGGTAGGGGAATGTGGGGACCATAAAAGGACAGCATACGGGAGTTTTCTGGAGGTGATAGAATAGTTCTGTGTATGATTGAGTAGTTCGGCATATGACTGATTGTGGTGATGGTTACATGAGTGCATACATGTTGTAAAATTAATATACCATACACACACATACACAAACACAAAGGCAAGCTCATGGGAAAAACCATGAAATTCAGTAAGGTTCATAGTTGAGTTAGTAGTAGAGTACTAATGTCAATTTCCTAGTCTCAATTATTGTACTATAGATATAAGAGATGGGGGAAGTTATAGTTATTGGAGGAAGCTGGGTAAAGGGTACATGGGCATTCTCTGTACTATTTTTGTGACTTATTATATAAATCTAAGATTATTTCAAAACAAAAATTGTTTGGATTATATAGACTGGGATGTTTATTTTATAGCACTTTTGAGGATGAGAATTTTGAATATTCAAGAGTTATAACCAATTTCAGTAATTTTTCTTTGAGATACTTAAACGTATCTCAAATTTTATCAGTAATAACTTCTACAAGCCAGTTTCATATGTATTTGAATGCTATAATTTGCCTTTTAACCCTTTCATATTTTTTGTAACAACAAATAGTTTGAGACTTAATTTACTTTCCCTGCACTAAACCTGGAATCCACAAAAAAAAAAAAAAAAAGAGGTCCCAGGTTTCTAGATTTAAAATGCTGTGTAAGAAACTTATTGGCATAAAACAGCAATCATTTTATTATACTTAAGGATACTGTTAGGAATTGACACAGGGCCCTTAGGTGATGACTTATAACTGTTCCACAATATTTGAGCCTCACGTGAAAAGATTTAAATGGGTTAGGACTCAAATAACTTAGATTTGGAATCTGAAAATTTCACTCACATGTATGACACCTGGGCTGATTGCCTGGACCTACTGGGACTGTCAACCAGAAGACCTATATATGGCTTCTGCATACAGATTGAACTTCTTGCCAAAGAGCAAAAGGCTTCCAAGGTAGTGTCAGAGAGATAGTCTTCCAAAATATAAACCCATAACTCTCTAATATCTAGCAGAGTCATTACGCCTATATTGTATTGACAAAAGCATGCCACTAAAAAGTACAGATTTTCAAAATGAGGGAAATTTGATTCTAAATCTTGATAGGATCGTGGCAAAATCACATGGCAGAAGAACAAGTAAGATGAGACACAGTGGAGTGAGCATCTTTCAAAATAAAATTGGCCACAAAATTTAAGACAAAGTTATTTTCTAACCTGCCCTTTTATCTCTTATCAAGTATAGTTTCCTTCTTTTATTTATTGTCAATGTTTCTGTGGGGGGAGGCATAATCTCCTGAAATTACTCGGAATAGGAAACAAACAAAAAAGGGCAATCTAGGTTTCTAAATTAGAAGAAATATTCAGCAAATAAAAAGAGAATAATTGTTGAGTACTGGGCTTCAAAAAAAAAAAAAAAATAGACAAGAGAAGATAGTGTTAATTCAACTAAAAATCAGCACTAGCTCTGTGAAAATTAACTCTGTGCTTACAAATAAATGATAACATCCCCTAGATTCAGACAAACCAATTATTTAAAGGTCAGAGAGATTAGAAGAAGCCAGCAAAAGACTGAGATGGTGAAGCCTTTGAGACAGAAGAGAAACCAGGAGAACGTGGTGTTCCATAAACCCTGTGAAACAGGGATTTCCAAATGGAAGGGGAAAGTCATGAAATTGTTCTGAGTATTCAGTTTTGACCAATGGATTTGATTAGATTGAAGAAGACATTGGTGACTGTTACAAGAGGGGTTTAAGTGCGGTGGTGGGAATGAAAAAATGAATTAAAGTAGAGATTGTAGATAACATATTAGAGTCATTGTATTATAAAATGAGAAGTGAATTAGATTACTAGAAAGAGATTTGGATTCTACAAACAATTTTTTGAGCTTTTGTTTTTGCTCTTTACAATGAAAGATGTTTGGTATGTTTGCATATTGGTGGAAATAATTTGGAAAATGGAGAAATTAATGATACAGGTGAGAAGGAATAATTGAAAGAGCAAAATCCTTTCATAGAAAAGATGGGATCAAATCTGGTAGAGACCATAACAAGATAGGAGTAAAGATCAACATCCAGTGAAACAGGAAACAATGCAGAAAAAGATGCATATGAATAGCAGGTAGTTTTCTTCTGATTGCTTCTATATCTAGATGAAAAAATAAATGAAGTCATTAGCAAAGTGCAAGGTGAGGACTGGTGGTTAAGGAGGGAGATAATGAAAATAGGGGAGGGGAAAAGCAGTGTCAAAATTATTTAGGACCATGATCATTAATTTAAGCAAGGCAAGTCAACACAGTTGCCTTTGTTTTTCTTGTAGACACACTCTGGTGCTTCAATTCAGGGACGGGGCAAGCAGAGAATTTATTTGCAAAGGACTGAGGTTTTCTAAGACTTGGATTACAGATAGAAAGGAAGGAATGGGCAGGAGAGTGTGTGCAAGGGATTGACTTACAATGATGAGCCATGGAATCTAATTTAGATGTGGTGGGAAGAGAGAAAGTGAAGGGAAAAGAATAGTGAAAAAGTGTCAAGGTCATTGAATGTTTGGAACAAATTTAGTAAAGTGAGCTAAAAAGATTGTTGAAATGGTCTAGAGTGTGATGCTTAATATTTAGATATTTTAGGTAGTGTAGTAATTGGAAACGACAAGGTTTAGATAGACTAGAATCAATAGTGGAGACTACTAATATCTCACAGGGACTTCTCTAGTTTCTTGATTGGACATAGCTATGTGCATTCCCATTGACTTCTGAACCACTGTCAGTAAATTTCGTCTTAGTGAGATTATTAGGCTGTCTATTTCTCGAAATTTCCCCATTAAATGTTAAATTTCTAACAGGCTGGGCACTTTTTGCTTGCTTCAGCTACTATCCTCTAGACATACTCGTCTTCTCTGATTGTTTCCCACTGTAATCTCTTTGTATTCAATAGGATCCTCAGGTGTGGACCTTTCCAAGCTATAAAGTCACTCTTCTCCAGCAAGGGAGCAGAGCTTCCAGTCCACATGGACTGCCTGCCCATCCAGGGTCCAACTTCTGAGCCACAGAATTGGGCTGCGAGACAGAGGTGGATGAAATGATCGCTCTCTTTTACTGAATTTTATGGAGACTTTCTGGAATAAATATTTCCTAACATTATACTGTTTGGCCAGTTTCCAGAGACAACCAATGGTTACTTTTAAAATTGTATCCAGTTTTATTGCTGCCTTTTGGTGGGGAGTGAATATACCAAGACCCTCACAAAGCCATTCTCAAAGTCCCACCTGAACAAAATGATTTTGAATTATAATTTTGTTCCTTCAAACATTTCAGGAAACATTACTTGGCAAAAAGTATTCTTGATTAGACCTTTTATAGTTTATGAAATATTAAAACTGTTAAGAAGGTACCTAATTATTAGTGCCAGTTTTAAAAGAAATTTACGACTACAAAAGTGATGTTGTATTAAGATGAGGAGTGATGACTTGCACTTGCTTGCCTTTTGAAACAGCTGAACCCTTGGCTAGAAAAAAAGAAAAAAAAAAAAAAAAGGCAGGGGGGAGCTTCCTGTCTCCTCTAAACAGTTATTTCTGATTATTCCAAACTCAGAGACTCGGTGACTACAACAAGGAAATTGAACAGCAGTTATTTTGCTCAAATAAACATTACATAATGAGTTGAGAACATTTTTGTGAAAACACTGATTAGACACTATTTGCTTATTTCACACAACCCTCCATGAACTTTGATATTTTCCACAAAGGGATTTACTAAAGTAGCTTCCCGTTAGTATACTGAAATACAAAGTGATGTTCATAACTGTTAATTTAAAGTAACACCACCATCACTGGAGTACTTTTAGTTATATGTGATTGGGACTACCAAGCATGTTGCTCTTATTCAGTGTAATCCTAATCTCATGGGTATCCACTGTTGGGGGAGAAGGTAAGTTGAAAACAGATCCGAATATTTTAGTTCCTTTTCAAATGTATTTATTGATTGTGTGTGTATATGCATAAGATTATTTTTAAATGAATAAATAGCTGAGGATAATTTGAAAGGATACCATAATATTCATCTATTTTCTGGAAATATTTTCCAACATGCAATTAGTAGGAAAATAAAATGAAGTTAATTCTCTCCATTCTCTAGTTTGCAAAGGGTAAATGGTCACCAAATAGATAATGTAAAGAGCAATCAAATGAGAGAAAATCTGCTATAATAAAGGTGACAAGGTGAAATATTAATGTAATTCTGCATAAACTCCGCAATGCCACTGACTGGAAAAATCAACCCCAAAAAGATTTGGCCACCTTCAATATGTTTTTAGAATTTTATTTTCATAGATTTGATAGTTTAAATTTTAAATGTTATTAAAATGAAGGAATTATCATTTCAGTCTAATTATAATTCAACAGGGAAATATATTTTAATGAAACAATAGAAAATATTATTTTTATATGTAAACCAGTGAACTGCCAAAAAACTGTTTCTTCTGAGCTCTTCCACAAATTTCAAAAGTGAAATAATATATCACCTCTTTATTAATACTATATACTGGTTCTTATAACATTATAAACTATCCTATTTTATTTCATGTGAAAATTAAAGCCACCATATCAAAAGAATTGCAAACAAAATCTCTAACAGGATCTAGGATACTGATTAAACTATGTGTGTACATGGAGTTTCAGTCATTGTGCTATACTCTTTGATTTCCAGAAAGTTTTTCTTTTACTGCTTTACTGCTTTCTAATGTTTACAGATCTTTAAATTTTTTTGAACACTTTCTTCTCAGTCCTGACATAAGAGAAAAATATGAACAATAAAATACTTTCTTTTTAAGATACGCCCTTACAAATGTGGCAAAACATTATTTCTATGGGCCTGAAATTCATTTAATTTTGTTTTCACTTTTAGTACTGAGTTGTAATCACAGGAGTGCGATTGTATGAGTGTATTTGATTTTTCTTAAGTCTGTGTTTATGATATTTATTAAGTGGCTTAAACATCTGTTACAAATGGCATTACACAAGGATTTCTAAATGGGGGTGGAAGCAGAGGAAGGTAAGTGAAAATTATGAGGATAATATGTAGAATTTTGACAATTCCTAATCCAACAAAAAAATTTCAAACTTTAGTCCAGTCCCAGGATAAACTTTAGTGAAATTCTGTCTAAAAATTGTCTAGGTGTTAAATGACCTGTAAGTGTGCGTTACACTTTTATTTTGGTGTCTATTTAGAAACTGGCCAAACAGCAGAAATAACACACGAAAGCAACACTTTTGTACAAACAGAAAACTGCATGCTTCCAGCAGGAAAACATTAATCAAGTAATATATTGTACTTCATGCTGTAGCAAAGAGGCTAGAAAGAATATGACAACCCCACCCATGCCTCCCTACTACTTAGAAGGTCCTAAAAGAAAAGCAAAATGTAAATAGGCAAATAAATTGCAAGGTTTTATATACAGGTGATTGTGTGTGTGTGTGTGTGTGTGTACACTCATGCATCACTTAATGATAGGAAAACGTTCTGAGAAGTGTGTCTTTAGGCAATTTTGTCCTCCTGCAGACATAAACAGAGTGTACTTATACAAACCTAGATTGTATAGCCTACTACCTAACTAGGCTATATGGCCTGTCACTCCTAGACTGCAAACCTGTACACCATGTTACTGTACTGAATACTGTGGGCAATTGTAGCACAAATGTAAGAACGTGTTTATCTAAACATAGAAAATGTACAATAAAAGTACAATAGAAAATATTAAGAATGGCAGGCTTGTATAGGGCTCTTACCATCAGCAGGGTTTGCAAGACTGAAAGTTGTTCTGGGTAAGTCACTGAGTGAGTGGTGTGTGAATATGAAGGCTTAGCACATTACCATACACTACTGTAAACTTCATAAACACTGAATACTTGAGCTAGAGTAAATTTATTTCATTTATATATTTATTCAATATTTTGGGGGGGAGCAGGTGGTTCTTGGTTACATGGATAAGTTCTTTAGTACTAATTACTGAGCTTTTGGTGCACCCAGGATAGACTAAATTTATTTTAAAAACTTTTCTTCAATAATACATTAATTTGTGGTAAGCTTTTTACTTTATCAACTGAAAATTTTTTAACTTGTAACTCTTTTGTGATACATTTAGCTTAAAACACATCTTGTATAGATGTACAAAATATTTTTTTCTTTCTATTCTTATTCTGTAAGATTTTATCTTTTATATTTTATTTATTTATTTACCTTCTACACCTTTTTGTTATAAACAGACACAAACACACACATTAACCTCGGCCTACAAAGGGTCAGGATCATCAGTACCACAGTCTTCCTCCTCCACTCTTGTTCCACTAGAAGGTCTTCAGGGCAGTAACACACATGGAGCTGTCCTCTCCTGTGATAACAAAGGTTTCTTCTGGAATAGTTCCTGAAGGACCTGCCTGAGGATGTTTTACAGTTATTTTTTTTTAAATGAGTAGAAGAAGTAAACTATAAAATAATGATAACAACTATAGTACATTAAATACATTAACTAGTACCATGGTCATTTATTATCTTTATCTAGTATTATGCGCCATACATAATTGTGTGTGCTATTGTTTATATGACTGGCAATGCAGTAGGTTTGTTTATACCAGCATCACTACAAACATGTGAGTAATACATTGGACTGTGATGTTGTGGTGGTCATCAGTTGATAGGAATTTTTCAGCTACATTATAATCTTATGGGACCACTGTGATATAAGTGATCCGTCACTGACCAAAACGTCATTATGTGATAAATGACTGTACGTCTGTATATATGTGTGTGTGTGTGTATACATGTATACGTGTGTGTGTGTATATATATATATATCTCAGAAGAAATGTATTCATAGTATTCTATCAGAATGTTGAGACAAAGAAAATTATTTTCTGCTTTTGAAGTGGGTGATTGTGTAATGGTAAGCTTGCAAAAGGACAATAACACTCTTAGCTAGCACCATTGCGGATGTGCACAATGGTTATACGATGCGTGTTGTAGAGCAAGTTCTGAAGGATAGGTAGAATACAACTGGATGATGAGAACAAAGTTATTCTGGATAGTGAAGAATATGTAAGTACAAATGTATGAAAATCAAGTACTATAACTGCAATTTTCGAGGAGCAAAGGATATTTAAAAGGAGTTATGATAGGTTAATACTATCAAGACACGAGGGAGTCTTTCCCTCAATATCTTCTCCAAAACTATCTAATGTCGATTTTTAAACAGTTAGGTAATAAATTTAAGGTTTCACAAGGTTAAATACCACAAGAAGTATTTCAAATATTGTGCAACATTAAACATTACTTCTAGGTAGATTAAAAAGAGAAATTTCCCTCGATTGTCAGCTGAATTTCTGCATGCTTTTTCTAAATAAGGTGAGAAACAAAACAATTTCTTACGCAGCAATGCTATATTGAGAAAATATCTTGAGCTAAAAAATGAGCACACTATATTGAGGAAATATCTTGAGCTAAAAAAGCATTGAAAGATAAAGTACATCAAATCCATGGAATGTACTATATCAAGAGTAAACCCCAATGTAAACTATGGACTTTGAATGACAATAATGTTGATGGGGAAGGGGGCTATTCATGTGGCAGGGAAGAGGAAGTGTTATATAGGAAATCTCTGTAACTTCCACTCAATTTTACTGTGAAAAAACTGTAAATAAAAATTAAGTCTAATAAAAAAATGTGTATACATATAAAATATATATACACAAAAAAATAGAGTCAAAACATGAAGATTTCACCCATTTTCTACATTGTTTTAATATATCTTGCACCACAGTGGGTATGGATGTATGTGTAAGTGTCTATATACATAGTATCCTCAGTATCCTTAGTATCCTCAAGGAATTGTTCCAGGACTCTTTTCACCCCCAGCAGATAACCAAATCCACAGATGCTCAAGTCTCTAAGAGAGAATGGTGTAGTATTTGCATATAACATATGCACATCCTCCCATATAATTTAAATAATCTCTAGATTATTTATAATATCTAATATAATGTAAATACCATATAAATTATTGTTATATTGTATTTTTAATTGCATTATTTTATCATTTTATTATCTTTTTATTGTTTTTTCTTTTTCAGATGTTTTGGACCTGCAGTATAACAAACATTTATATATACAGCAATTACCAGAATTTAGCTTTAATTTTATCTTAGTTGAGTTGTTCTTAGTGATTTTCTTATACTCTCTAAATTATTTCCACAAAAACTATATAAACTTTGTAACCAGAAAGTAATCAGAATATTAATAAGCAAAAAATCAAATTACCTACCCAACATTTTTACTGCACCAGAAAAAAAAAATAGGACAGATTTTTCTGGTGGAGATACCTATGACAGTCGATGAGTATAGAAAAAGAAAGAAATTTGAGAGCTGAGAGTAATCCTATCACTCCTCTACTGTACACTACACTGATCAGGGAGATTTGCCACTCTTACAGTCTACTTTCATTCTTAAATTGTTGTGTGAGGATATTGTTCTTGAAGACATTGCAGAAGAGTTCAGATTTCATAACACCCCAAAATATAAATTTTATATTCATTAACAATGACTTCCTCGGTCCGGCATGGTGGCTCACGCCTGTAATCCCGGCACTTTGGAAGGCCAAGGCGCATGGATCACCTGAGGTCAGGAGTTCAAGACCAGCCTGGCCAATATGGTGAAACCTTGTCTCTACTAAAAATACAAAAAAATTAGTCGGGTGTAGTGGCAGGCACCTGTAATCTCAGGTACTCAGGAGGCTGAGGCAGGAGAATCGCTTGAACCTGGGAAGTGGAGGCTGCAGTGAGCCAAGATTTGCACAATTGCACTTCAGCCTGGGCAGCAAGAGTGAAACCTGAAACTCCCCCTCAAAAAAAAATAAATAAATAAAATGACTTCCTTAAATACTCTTGTATTCTTATTTAGTGATCTTTCTTCATTCCAAATTAGTACACTGGAAAGCATTTAAGCTAAAGGCATTTAAGTTGAATGAAAAACAAAACTATAAATGAGATGATTAAAATATAATCTAGTGATTCATTAATGTAGCTTTTTATTTAATTCTTCAGTTTTGTGTTATTTTTCCCAGCAACACTTTGTGATTTTCCAAAAATACGCCATGGATTTCTGTATGATGAAGAAAATTATAAGCCATTTTCCCAAGTTCCTATAGGGGAAGTTTTCTATTACTCCTGTGAATATAATTTTGTGTCTCCGTCAAAATCCTTTTGGACTCGCATAACATGCACGGAAGAAGGATGGTCACCAACACCAAAGTGTCTCAGTGAGTAAATGCCCTGTTCATTAAATGGATGTCATTCAGTGAATAAAGAAGGATGTGCCAGACAAGATCATAAGGTCTTGATAATCACAGGGGCAGTGACCAGAGGAGCTGGAAAGATGGGAGATGTAGTCCTCCTAGTTTGAGATGCCTCCTATGAGAATCAATGAAGAATAAACATATCAACTGTCTTGCATTACCTGGAAATGCTCTACATGTTGAAATATATTAATTGTTTTAGACTGATGATTAATATATTTGACTGCTAATATTTCTTTACTAATATTCATTTGGCAGCAGCCTGATCATAGTTTTCCTTTAAAATAAGTCATTTTGTATAGATATTCTGTTTTGAATTTACCATTCTCTTGCATATTGCAAGGTAAGGTTTGGTATTTTAACTTTTATATTTTCAATAAATCATTTATTTGGTCCTTCCAAGTGTAGCTATATTAATACTCCAATAAATATAGAGAACAGACTCCAATGACAACAGGTGTATTAAAGAAGAAAAACAATGGGAGAGAGATTAGATGAGGCAACAAAGGACATAGTAATGATCTTTCTCCTTTTGTAAGAAACGTTTATGGGAATTGTGAGAAATATTTATATGAAGATATGGTTTTATCCCTAGAAGAGTTTATAAACACAAGATATTTTGTTATAAAAACCATACAGCAACAATATGAAATATTAACTTTCTTTTATATGTACATATATAGGAACAAAAATATATTTCGTCATTTATACAATAGCATGACCTAAATTATTTTGAAAATTTACACATTATGTCAGTTTTCAAAGTTTTCCTTTCTTAATAAAATATTTTAAAATGCACTTTTTTTACTACTTCCATCTTGTACATTAATCAATTTTTGGTCCTTAGGAATGTGTTCCTTTCCTTTTGTGAAAAATGGTCATTCTGAATCTTCAGGACAAATACATCTGGAAGGTGATACTGTACAAATTGTTTGCAACGCAGGTTACAGCCTTCAAAACAAGGAGAAAAGCATTTCATGTGTAGAACGGGGCTGGTCCGCTCCTCCCAAATGCAGCTTCACTAGTAAGCAAAATACTGCCTTCTAGTTTTGCTAATTATTTAAAGAAATAAGTCTATTGTTTATAGATTAAATATAGGTTAAATATAGGTTTCACCACTACTTCTATCATTATTTATTTGATTTTCAGTTCCAATTTTGTCTAAGTAGATGTGCAATAACATAGTTTGCCTACCTATATAAATCAAATGTACATAAGAAGAAGAAATATTAGAGAAGAATACACTTTGAAGATAATCCATTAATGTAACACCTGTTTGTTGTTTATATTATCAAGTTAGTTCACAATAAATGGTTACAAAACTGAGATATTAAAGTGCAAATAAGTCCGATTACAGTTAAAATGTCTTATAAGGAAGTTTTTAGTATTTATCTTTATTTAAATTAATATGTTTGAGTCAATAAATCATTTTCTAAGTTGTAAAAAGTCCGTACTTCTGAGAGGTATGTTTATTTGTGAGCAGCTTAGAACTTGGGAAACGATTCTTTTGGAAGTCTGTGGTATAAATGATGGCAACTCCCAGTCCTGTGTGAACTCTTGTAATTCTTCGTCTTTACAGTTCTTCAGTAATTGTTCTTTGCCCAGCCCAATGCGATTCCATCCTGTGCTTGCACAGCTCAGTATTCAACCAAAAACTTAAGGAAACTTCCATAGCTCTTTCTCTTCATAATACTTTCTCTCTGCTACTATGTCCAGTAACTTCTGGCCACCACAGTCTCCAAGACTGACCTTACTAGTCTCAACTAAAGAAGACCACTACGTTCTTCCCGGTTTCTCCCTCCTTGCACAGTCCAGAAAAGGCCTCCCAACACACAACTGGGGCTATCATTGACTTTGCTTTACTATTTTGAGGTATTGAGGGTTTTTTCCTTTTTTCAGTCATCACAGTCCTGAACTGGGTGATTTCCAGCGTTCTGAAAATAAATTTTGTAAAATTTTCTAAATTTTTTTTCAGTGGGATGATATGTTGATAGCAAGTACTCCATCCTACCAAGAAATAAAATCTATGGTATGTTTTTCAAAAGATGGTATGTTATCAAATATCATTCCACATCTTCAATTCTTAAATTCAAACCTCTAGAGCTGGGCACAGTGATGTGCACCCGTAGTCCTGATGTGCACCCGTAGTCCCCACCACTGGCAAGGCTGAAACAGGAGTTCAATGCTGAAGTGAGTTATGACTGCACCAGTGCACTCCAACCTGGGCAACAGAGTGAGAACCTTCCCCACTAGAAAAACAAAACAAAGTAAAGCAAAATGAAATTTAAACCTCTAGAAATGGAGTCTTTTTAAAACAGCTGGAACTGTGATACTTTTTCTGTAAACAGTTAAGTCCTGGTCTCTTTCAATTACAAGGGGTTAAAACATTATTAACATTTGCAAAAAGAAATAAAATAACAAATGTTACCAAAACTAGAAAATTCCAGTGATTGAAAAGGGTTCAAAATTTATAGGCTTCAATTATGGTATAAATATTTCCACGCTTTCTCTTGTCCATACCTGTTCATGTCGTGAACAAGCTCTCTTCATTTTGAGAGATGATGGCTATTGTCAGCCCAACAATTATATTTTAGAAGCTTGACAAATTAAGTTTGGCCAGCTGTAACCCATACAAGCTGGCTCTGTGTGCAGTCCGTAAGATTTTGTTAGTCTTTGAACAATTCGGTTGCTTTGTGACACAAAAAATATCTAAGACTTAAGTCATGTTTCCACTGCCCTGGAACTGGAATCAGCCATACCTCCAATAAGCCCTGGTTCCATTTAGTGGGCAATGACATTTAGAAACTAAGTTGTCAGAATAAACTTGTTTCAAAATTTGGTAGATTTTATTTAATCAGAAAAAGCACATCTTATTGTTCAGGTTCTCAGAATATTGCTACCTTTCCCTTTCTGCCCGTTGCTTATTCCAAAAGCACAAGACAACATATTGAGGTTGCCAGAGTAGACGGAAGAAGTCAGAGTCTCCAAAGAGGAAGAATTCAGCAGAACACTCTATGTCCAAGGTTGAATGATAGCTCACGAACACCATGGAGAGTTAATAAAGTTTCAGGGCAACTAGACTCCTGATGACAGCTTAGCTGCACAGTCTGTTTATTCGTGTAAGGTAACATCTTACAAGTTATGGTAATCCATGTTGCAGGCATTAGTAGAGTGCCATATCTGGGGGTCGTTATTCCATTTACACCACCATGCAATAACGATATATGAATAAAGCAACTGGAAATACTACATCGGCCAAGATCAATTATTTTCTTTTTTTATATATACTTTAAGTTCTAGGGTACATGTGCACAACATGCAGGTTTGTTACAAAAGTAAACATGTGCCATATTGGTTTGCTGCACCCATTAACCCGTGATTTACATTAGGTATTTCTCCTAATGCTATCCCTCCCCCTACCTCCCACCCCACAACAGGCCCCAGTGTGTGATGTTCCCCACCCTGTGTCCAAGTGTTCTCATTGTTCAATTCCCACCTGTGCGTGAGAACTTGCAGTGTTTGGTTTTCTGTCCTTGTAATAGTTTGCTCAGAATGATGGTTTCCAGCTTCATCCATGACCCTGCAAAGGACAAGAACTCATCCTTTTTTATGGCTGCATAGTATTCCATAGTGTATATATGCCACATTTTCTTAATCCAGTCTATCATTCATGGACATTTGGGTTGGTTCCAAGTCTTTGCTATTGTGAATACTAGCACAATAAACATATATGTGCATGTGTCTTTATAGCAAAGTGATTTATAATCCTATGGGGTATATACCCAGTAATGAGATCACTGGGTCCAATGGCATTTCTGGTTCTAGATCCTTGCGGAATCGCCACACTGTCTACCACAATGGTTGAACTAGTTTGCACTCCTACCAGCAGTGCAAAAGTGTTCCTGTTTCTCCACATCCTTTCTAGCATCTGTTGTTTCCTGACTTTTTAATGATTGCCATTCTAACTGGTGTGAGATGGTATCTCATTGTGGTTTTGATTTGCATTTCTCTGATGGCCAGTGATGATGAGCATTTTTTCATGTGTCTGTTGGCTGAATAAATGTCTTCTTTTAAGAAGTGTCTGTTCATATCCTTTGCCCACTTTTTGATGGGGTTGTTTTTCTCTTGTAGATTTGTTTAAGTTCTTTGTAGATTCTGGCTATTAGTCCTTTGTCAGGTGGGTAAATTGCAAAAATTTTCTCCCATTCTGTAGGTTGCCTGTTCACCCTGATGGTAGCTTCTTTTGCTGTGCAGAAAGCTCTTTACTTTAATTAGATCTCATTTGTCTATTTTGGCTTTTGTTGCCATTGCTTTTGGTGTTTTAGTCATGAAGACCTTGCACATGCCTATGTCCTGAATGGTAAAGCCTAGGTTTTCTTCTAGGGTTTTTATGGTTTTTAGGTCTAACATTTAAGTCTTTATTCCATCTTGAATTAATTTTTGTATAAGGTATAAGGAAGGGACCCAGTTTCAGCTTTCTACATATGGCTAACCAGGTTTCCCAGCACCATTTATTGAATAGGGAATCCTTTCCCCATTTCTTGTTTTTGTCAAGTTTGTCAAAGATCAGATGGTTGTAGATGTCTGGTGTTATTTCTGAGGCCTCTGTTCTGTTCCATTGGTCTATATCTCTGTTTTGATACTGTACAATGCTGTTTTGGTTACTGTAGCCTTGTAGTATAGTTTGAAGTCATGTAGCATAATGCCTCCAGCTTTGTTCTTTTGGCTTAGGATTGTCTTGGCAATGCGGGGTCTTTTTTGGTTCCATATGAACTTTAAAGTAGTTTTATCCAATTCTGTGAAGAAAGTTAGTGGTAGCTTGATGGGGATGGCATTGAATCTATAAATTACCTTGGGTAGTATGGTCATTTTCACGATATTGATTCTTCCTATCCATGAGCATGGAATGTTCTTCCATTTGTTTTTGTCCTCTTTTATTTCGTTGAACAGTGGTTTCTAGTTCTTCTTGAAGAGGTCCTTCACATCCCTTGTAAGTTAGATTCCTAGGTATTTTATTCTCTTTGAAGTAATTGAGAAAGGGAGTTCACTCATGATTTGGCTCTCTGTCTGTTATGAGTGTATAGGAATGCTTGCGATTTTTGCACACTGATTTTGTATCCTGAGACTTTGCTGAAGTTGCTTATCAGCTTAAGGAGATTTTGGACTGAGACGATGGGGTTTTCTAAATATACAATCATGTCATCTGCAAACAGAGACAATTTGACTTCCTTTTTTCCTAATTGAATACCCTTATTTCTTTCTCTTGCCTGATTACCCTGGCCAGAACTTCCAACACTATGTTGAATAGGAGTGATGAGAGAGGGCATCCCTGTCTTGTGCCAGTTTTCAAAGGGAATGCTTCCAGTTTTTTCCCATTCAGTATGATATTGGCTGTGGGTTTGTAACAAATAGCTCTTATTATTTTGAGATATATTCCATCAATATCTAGTTTATTGAGAGTTTTTACCATGAAGGGCTGTTGAATTTTGTCAAAGGCCTTTTCTGCATCTATTGATATAATCATGTGTTTTTTGTCATTGGTTCTGTTTATGTGATGGATTACATTTATTGGTTTGCCTGTGTTGAACCAGCCTTGCATCCCAGGGATGAAGCCTACTTGATCATGGTTGATAAGCTTTTTGATGTGCTGCTGGATTTGGTTTGCTAGTATTTTACTGAGGATTTTTGCACTGATGTTCATCAGGGATATTGGTCTAAAATTATCTTTTTTGTTGTGTCTCTGCCAGGCTTTGGTATCAGGATGATGTTGGCCTCATAGACTGAGTTAGGAAGGATTCCCTCTTTTTCTATTGATTGGAATAGTTTCAGAAGGAATGGTACCAGCTCCTCCTTGGGGGTTGGGGAAGTTCTCCTGGATAATATCCTGAAGAGTGTTTTCCAAGTTGATTCCATTCTCCCCCTCACTTTCAGGTACACCAATCAAATGTAGATTTGGTCTTTTCACATAGTCCCATATTTCTTGGAGGCTTTGTTCATTTCTTTTTACTCTTTTCTCTCTAAACTTCTCTTCTTTCTTTATTTCATTAATTTGATCTTCAATCACTGATACCCTTTATTCTACCTTATCAAATCAGCTACTGAAGCTTGTGCATGCATCACGTATTTCTCATGCCATGGTTTTCAGCTCCATCAGGTCATTCAAGGTCTACTCTACACTTTTTATTCTAGTTTGCCATTCATCTAATATTTTTTCAAGGTTTTTAGCTTCCTTGTGATGGGTTTGAACATCCTCCTTTAGCTTGGAGAAGTTTGTTGTTACGAGCCTTCTGAAGCCTACTTCCGTCAGTGCATCAAAGTCACTCTCTGTCCAGCTTTGTTCTATTGCTGGTGAGGAGCTGTTATTCTTTGTAGGAGAAGAGGCACTCTGGTTTTTAGAATTTTCAGCTTTTCTGCTCTGGTTTCTCCCCATCTCTGTGGTTTTATCTACCTTTGGTCTTTGATGTTGGTGACCTACAGATGGAGTTTTGTTGTGGATGTCCTTTTTGTGGATGTTGCTGCTATTTCTTTCTGTTTGTTAGTTTTCCTTTTAACAGTGAGGTCCCTCAGCTGCAGTTCTGTAGGATTTTGCTGGAGGTCCACTCCAGACCCTGTTTGCCTGGGTATCACCAGCAGAGGCTACAGAACAGCAAATATTGCAGAACAGCAAAGATTGCTGCCTGCTTCTTCTTCTGGAAGCTTCATTCCAGCGGGGCACCCACCTGTATGAGGTGTCAGTTGGCCCCTACTGGGAGGTGTCTCCCAGTTAGGCCACATGTGGGACAGGGACCCACTTGATGAGACAGTCTGTCCTTTCTCAGAGCTCAAATACTGTGCTGGGAGAACCACTGCTCTCTTCAGAGTTGTCAGACGAGGACATTTAAGTCTGCAGAAGTTTCTGCTGCCTTTTGTTCAGCTATGCCCTGGCACCAGGGATACAGTTTACAGAAGCAGCAGGCCTTGTTGAGCTGCAGTGGTCTCTGACCAGTTCAAGCTTCCCCAGCTGCTTTGTTTACCTACTCAAGCCTCAGTAATGACGGTGCCCCTCCCCCTGCCAGGCTGCTGCATCACAGGTCAATCTCAGACTGCTGCACTAGCAGTGAGCAAGCCTCTGTGGGCATGGTACCCACCAAGCCAGGCAAAGGATACAGTCTCCTGGTATGCCATTTGCTAAGACCACTGGAAAAGCACAGTATTTGTGCATGAGTGTTCCGATTTTCCAAGTACAGTCTGTCACAGCTTCCCTTGGCTAGGAAAGGGAAATTCCTCAACCCCTTGCACTTCCCAGGGAAGAAATGTCCTACCCCGCTTTGGTTTCCCCTCCATCGGCTGCATCCATTGTCCAACCAGTCCCAATGAGATGAACCAGGTACCTCAATTGGAAATGCAGAAATCACCCATCTCCTGCATCTATCACGCTGGAAGATGCAGACCAGAGCTGTTCCTATTCGACCATCTTAGAACAGAATTAAGATCAATTATTTTCAATGGCATTTTGTCTTTAACAATTAGATTTAAAAAAAAAAAAAGACTATAAACAACCAATAAAGAGCTGCCACGCAAAATACTAGAATAAAAACAGAGATTTAGGGATACATATTTTATTTTATCGAAATAAGGCACATTCTCTTGAGATTTGCTCAAGTAAACTGTGATCAATACATTAAAGTGCCAATAACAGTACATAAAACTAGCTAGTTTGAAAATATTTATAAGATTATTTGTTAGAAAATATTTCAATTTTATTTTCGTGTATGCTTGATTTCTTCAGATTATTTCATTTGTCTTGAATGTCAATTATTTTTACATAAGAATATATAATTGTATAAACTAATCTTTAATGAAAGATTATTAAATAAGAAAACTACACACATATTCATATACATATCTATTTCTAATTGAATCAGAATATATTCATAATGAGTTAGTTTTTACAAACATATTAGTGATAGAGTTGAGTATAATGGAAAGATTCAAAAAACCTAGATGGGTTTTTTAAAAGTCTTTTATTTAGTTACCCTTTTGTAAAATTGAGAATAATTTGCTTTTTAATATTCCCTTCAACTTAACATTTATTAGTTGTACCCTGTTTTGTTGTTTCACATATCTACTTTTTTTTGAGACAGGGTCTCACTCTGTCACCCAGGCTGGAGTGTAGTGGTGCGATTTCAGCTCACTGCAACCTCCGCCTCCTGGGTTCAAGTGATTCTCCTGCCTCAGCCTCCCTAGTAGTTGGGACTACAGGCACCCACTACTGTGCCTGGCTAATTTTTGCATTTTCAGTAGAGACAGGGTTTCAACATGTTTGCCAGGATGGTCTCGAACTCCTGACCTCAGGTGATCCACCCTCCTTGGCCTCCCAAAGTGCTGAGATTACAGACATGACCCACCATGTCCGGCCCACATATCTGCTTTTTATACATCTTTTTTTTTATTTTACAAAAAGTAATTAAATATGTTGCAATTTGATTTTGTTACTTGAAGGATTTTTTTGTGATTTAAGTGTGAAAAAACCTTCATATTCTGTATTATAAACAAATAATGTTATTAAACTTATGTTTTAAACAACAAAATTAAAACTCATATTGCTAATTAAACACATGAAATAATTTACTGTATTAGTAACTTCACAGACTTTCTTATTACAATCCTGAAGAGATTCTCCTAGAAAATGTTACCTTGCTGCAATTTCCCAATTTGCCTGAGGGGTCTGAGATATAGTCATTGGATATAAATAATTACTTTATATGTTTTCTCAAAGGCAAGAATATATTTTATACTCCTCTGTATATGAAGCCCCTTGCATCTTATTTTCATATAGCACACATTAAATTTGTTTCTGCAATGAAAATTCAATGTATGTTCATTTAATTTTATTTTTAGAAGAAGAATGTCATGTTCCAATTTTAGAAGCAAATGTAGATGCTAAGCCAGAAAAAGAAAGCTACGAAGTTGGAGATGTGTTGAAATTCTCCTGCAGAAAAAATCTTACAAGAGTTGGACCAGAATCAGTTCAATGTTACCAATTTGGGTGGTCACCCAACTTTCCGACATGTAAAGGTCAGTATTTATTTTAGAAGTGATGAAACAAGAATTTGATTTTTATAATAATGCCTATATATTTTTATTGGAGCTTATATTACATCTATAATCTGACAAAGTGGTAAAATGGCAAAGGTAGTATTTTATTTAGAAAGGAGAAAGGGTGCAGTTCTGTAGTAATTAAGTTGCATCCATTATTTAGTTGTCCTTAATCAAGGAGTAATTCTACTTCTGTGTTTGAAAATACATAATAGGATTTTATGGGTCAAAATATAGTAGCTGGAATTGAGATGTGTTAGGATTTTTCCATCTAGCTCAATAAAAAATTTATACATTTTAAAAATATTGTATGAACAACATTATATTTTATTAAGTAATTAAGAAAATAATCAAGTCATTGCATATATGAATTATTCATTAGAAAACAATGATGATTTGTACCTGCTTCAGATGGCACTATTTTTTATCAAAAATGGCTTATCACATTATTTCAGGTATGTATTAGTCCATTTTCACAATGCTGATAAAGACATACCCAAGACTGGGCAATTTACAAAAGAAAGAGTTTTAATGATCTCACAGTTTCACGTGGCTGGAGACACCTCACAATCATGGCAGAAGGTGAAAGGCAAATCTTGAATAATGGCAGACAAGAGAAGAGAACCTGTGCAGGGAAACCTCCCTTTATAAAACCATCAGATCTCGTGAGACTTATTCACTATCATGAGAATAGCACGGGAAAGACCTGCCCCCATAATTCAATTACCTCCCACTAGGTTCTTCCCACAACATGTAGGAATTGTGGGAGTTACAATTCAAGATGAGATTTGGGTAAGGACACAGCTAAACCATGTCAAAGTATTTCTAGATATTAATAAAACTTATAATTATACATTGCATATGTATATTATATCACATATTAGATAACTATTTACTTTTATGTAGCATTCAGAATATTGACCTACTTAAAAATCTTCAAGAGTACAGCTTAATATCCTGATTATAATAAACAGCCAACAAAATATCGGTAAAGATAGACAATCAGGATGTTTAAATACAGAGAGGATATAAGATTGTACTAAGAAAATATTATTAATTTGGTGAAATGTAATAAGATACTTTGTATATGTAGGCAAATGTCTTTATGAGATAGCATTCTGAAGAATTTAGGACTAAAATCTCACTGTCATTTACTTTCAATTACTTCACAAAAAATAAGTAAATAGGGCAAAGTGTAACATTTTTATATCTAGATAATCAGTTTATAAGTGTTCATTATGCATTCTTTCTCCTTTCATTTGCTCAAAATTGTTCATCATGAAAAGTGTCAATATTCGAGGAAATGAAAGAAGTCAATACACTATGTACACTGTAAAAAACACATGTCCCCAAAAATAGAAGTGCAATATAAAGGTAATTAATTTCTAAGTCAAAAATATAGTAGCTCCACATTTTGCTATACTTATAAGACCATTTAAGCATTATTTATGGTTTCTTTATAATAGGACGAGTACAGTCGTGTGGTCCACCTCCTCAGCTCTCCAATGGTGAAGTTAAGGAGATAAGAAAAGAGGAATATGGACACAATGAAGTAGTAGAATATTATTGCAATCGTAATTTTATAATAAAAGGACCTAAGAAAATACAATGTGTGGATGGAAAATGGACAACTTTACCCACTTGTGTTGGTAAATAAATATTAACATTTAAACAGAACAGTTACTATTACTTTGCACTTACATATAAATAGACATGTAAATAGATTTAAAAATATTTTCAGAGTAAGCACTCATTTTATTACATTTTCTTAGAGCAAGTGAAAACATGTGGATATATACCTGAACTTCAGTATGGTTATGTTCAGCAGTCTGTCTCTCCCTATCAACATGGAGTTTCAGTGGAGGTGAATTGCAGAAATGAATATACAATGATTGGAAATAACAAGATTACCTGTATTGATGGACTATGGACAGAGCTTCCTATGTGTGTTGGTGAGAAAACATTCCTAAACTTCATATTTGATTATTTATAATTTCGATTGGGATTGTATTAAGTGTTTAAATCTGGCTAGAATTACAACTTTATTGATACTGACTCTTCCTTTCACAAGTAAAATATGTCAATCCATTTATTCAGGTCTTACATTAAACTTTGCCATATGGTTTTATGAATTTCTTGTTATTACTGCACATATTTCTTCACCAGTTTATATGGGATTTTTCTGGTATGATGAATGGAAACTTTTATTTACTTATATGCTTGAATAATTATACTTCCTATATGTAAGAATGTGATTTAATTGCATACATTAATTTTGTTTCCAGTAACCTTATTGAATTTCTGTATTAATTCTAATATTTAATTTGGATATTGTATTTCTACAAATGATGGCAATTTAATATATTTTATTTCATTGCTCTAACTCAGTCTTTACCTCAGCATGTTCCAGATAGAACAACCTAAAAAATAACAGTGTAGCTTGAGTTCTATTAAATTCCAGAGTGTTTGGAGTCCCTCCATAGAAGAAGAGTAGGGGACTAGGACCCAGGAATTAGGCATGATCCTTGCTCTTTCTGTCCCCATAATTATCTTATTTCTATCTTAATTTTCTGGTTAGTTTGTCAGTTTCCTCCACAGAAGTAGTAAGTAGTACGTAGTAGTAGTCTATCAGCCTGTGTGCTCTACTCTTACCTTGCAGCCTCAGGACTTACAGCCTTGACACTTAAGTATTTGCAGGTTTTCTTCCTGACACCCTCAGATCCTGGCCTCTTTTGTTCTATCTCTAGCAAACTCAATACATTAAAGCCTCTAATTTTGAACTTTAAAGACATGCAGATTTTCTGCTGCTGTTCTCCTTACAGAAACTGAAACAGAACCACCTCTCTCTCCATCTCCTGGACTTTTGGATTATCAATTGGCCCACCCATTGCTGGGAAAAATTACAGTAGGTGTTGCCACCCATTGTCCCAGGCAAATACCTGGTCAATGGCCATCCATGATGACCTATTGTGAGGGAATGTTTTCCACTACCAGGAGCCAGAACTCTGTTATGGGAAGATGTCGATCATATATCTTCATGGTCATCAACTTTTATGCAAACATCAACTTCTAGCCCCATATGGGATAAATTAAAAATAGAAACTATTGCAGAGAAACACCTATAAGCATAGAAGTAGCAGAGCACACTCCATGTCTCATTATCCCAAACTTTTACACAGTAAGGAAAAGGCTCCATAACTATCTACATGTTTATGGGAAATGGGAAAGAAACTTAACAATGAGAACTACTTAGACAAGTAGGCTTATTAGGAATGTATGTTCTGAAGCTCAGTCATGTTATTATCGGTGAGTTCTTCCCCTGAGAATACTCTGACTTACTGAGTCAGAGGTTTTGCTGAGCTTTTGAAATGTGAGAGTCATTGAACCTCAAGGGGGATCTAGATTTATCTCTTACTGATGCTTTGCTTCCTACAGACTTACCCATGTATTGCCTCTTTTTATTATTTAAATGTTTTGAAGATATTTAAGACAGTTTAGTGCAAAACAATCATACATGCGTACATTTTCAGAGCCTTTAACAATTCATTTGTAGCTTCCTAAGAACTATCCTTCAGTCAAAACTCCCACCAGGAAAACCCATCTTGCACTTTCATTTCTCAGAAAACTTTCTGACCTCCTTTCCTGTCATTCAAAGATGGGATACAGTTTTTTGTTTCATTTTTTCTTTTTTCAACAGCATTGCCCATTTTATGCAATGAGATCAAGAATAATTTTTGTGATGTTGCTTAAAAGCATCAAACATAATTATGCTATTAATATTTCAGATATTTTATTGACATAATTGTTTAGTTTCTATTTAATGTTATTTTTTACAGCAACACACCAACTTAAGAGGTGCAAAATATCAGGAGTTAATATAAAAACGTTATTCAGGTCATCTGGGAATGAATTTAATCATAATGCTAGAATACGTTACAGATGTTTAGACATCCGTGGATACAGGCACTCAGTCTGCATAAACGGGAAATGGAATCCTGAACTAGACTGCACAGGTAAGATTTGTTTAAAACATTTTGTTGATGCTGTTCCTTCTTTACGAGAAAAATTATTTTGAAATTAGAATGTTTTTAAATTAAATATTTTTTGTGGCATACAATTTCTAAGCTAATAGTAAAGTTAGAAACTAGTTATAATACTCTTTCCAGACAAATGTTATTCTTTAAAAGCCTTGTCTTTCTGGTAAAGATGAGCGAGTAAAGCTGTTTTTACTCTATTACAGTCTCACAAAACCTTGAAAGAAAAAAAGAAATAAAGAACTGTAAAAAAAGAACAAAACTTAATCTTCAATGACTTTAAGAAACAATTAAAACCCAAATTATGAACTGTGAAACAAAACTAACAGATATTGCCAATTCTGGACCAGACAGTAGGCTGAGTAAAAAGTAGGCTGAGAAAGAAAATATATTTGAGTAATAAATTATTTCCCTAAGAATAAGTCCCACATTCCTCCAAGGCTTATATTCAAATCATTTAATTTGAGCAATAGGATTATAAATTACAAGTAATTATAAAATGGGGCACCCATGTTAAATTAAAATAAACCAGAATTAGAGAAAACAAAGTGCTTAAAAAGGAATGACAATAAAAGACAGAAGATAGACTGCAGACTTCTCATCAGCAATATAAAAAGCCAAAGAAAATAGGGTAATCTCTTCAAAGTGCTTAGTGAAAGTAACTGGCAACCAATTATTCTGTATACCAATATAATTGACTAATGATTCCAAAATAAAGAAATTTTCAACCACAGGAAGGATAGGAGTTTACACACAAGATCATAATTTGAAAGAAATCATATAAAATATACATTAATGAGATAAAATACTAATTTATAACAAAAGGTGTGAGGTCATTAGAAATTGTGAGGAAAAATACTGGAATATATTGTTAAACACATAAGGATTTCAAAATGATAACTACAATCTGTTTAAAGCAACTGGAAAATTTTTATGTTTATAAAATATTTGATTTTATTATATATTTTTTTCTGTTTGAGGAAGAGAAATATTCTGATAGTGGAAAGAAGTTTGAAGCCTTTTATGTGTCTGTGAAATGTTTACTTAAATTGGCCATTCAGCCCACAAATAATTCTGACAACTTCAAATATTAAAGCCCTATAGATCACTTTTTATAACCACAAACAAATAATATTAAAAGTGGATAAAAAGTTATCCACTTCCTTACCCTTCATTTTGGGTAGGGAAATAATTTACTTCCAAATAACCTAGCAATGTAATGTTTAAAATACTAAGAACTATGTTGTAATTATAAGGACACATAATAAAACCTATGAGGTGCAACATAACCAAAATTTAGAATGATGTGGCATTCTAAAAGTATACATATATACTTTTTCCAGAGTAGATAAGTTTAAGGCTATGAATGCCACTATGAAAGTATATGTGTATATATATATACTTTTATATATGTATATTTTTATATACATATACACTTTATATATGTATACTTTTATATATGTATATATGTATATCCTAAAAAGCTAGGGGGAAAAATGAATTCAGATATTAGGAGGAAAAGGAGATAATAAAAGTAAAAGCAGAAGAAAATGAAATAGAATCTTGTATTTCCAACTAATCCAAGCCATGAAACTAATGTTTTGAAAAGATTAACAAGCACTTTGGGAGGCCGAGACGGCGGATCACGAGGTCAGGAGATCGAGACCATCCTGCTAACAGGTGAAACCCGTCTACTAAAAATACAAAAAACTAGCCGGCGAGGTGGGGGCGCTGTAGTCCGCTACTCGGGAGGCTGAGGCAGAGAATGGTCTAAACCGGAGCGGAGCTGCAGTGAGCTGAGATCCGCCACTGCACCCCAGCTGGGCGACAGAGCAAGACTCTGTTCAAAAAAAAAAAAAAAAAAAAAAAAAAAAAAAAAAAAAAAAAAAAAAAAACAAGCAGAGCTGTCTAAATGAGATGACTCTAATCAAGAATGGTGTGCATACACAAACATTTCTACAACCAAAGAGTAGATGAAAACTGAAATACAGGGAATAATAATATGAGTTCAATTTTTTTACATAAATAAATTACAAGCATAAAGAGAAGGAAAATACTGTGAGGCATAAGTATCATAATAAGGAAGAAGCCTTTTTTAAAGTTTTGAGAAGAGCCAGTAGATAGTAGTCTGGAGATTAGGTAAGAACGTTATTAGGTGGCAAATATTTGTTACACACGTTGCTTGTTCTTAATAAAATTTCTCATTTTATGCATCAGAAATACATGGCTTCAATAAGTTATTTGGTCAAAATCAAGACTGGAGCTTGTTTCCAGATTTTTATATCAGTGCTGTTTCAAATAGACTGTGTCTACACTAGGCAGAAATTTCTAAAGAGAATGTCCAACTCTATAAAGAAAGTAAGTTAGACAACTGAGATCATTATGTGTAATGTTCTTTTACCTAAAATATAAAAACAATAGTATTTGTGTGATATTTGAACATCTAAGTCACTTAGTTCGGACTTTGTTGATGAAATTTTCATTATTATTTGTACATTCGAGATTACAGACACCTTCAGCTTCCCTGTTTTCCGGCACTGGGACATCTAGGAGACTGATAGCAGGTAACTGCTGAGTCCCTAGATTGGCAGTACAGGCCTTGATGCTCACTCGAAAGAGTCTTGATGATACTTAATAAGTATTCATCTTTGTGACTATGTATTTAAACAAAAATACTTAAACCACCAAACAGAAATTCATAAACAATGAAAATGTTTAGTTTCCAAAATGTTTACAAAATACCTAAACAAAGAGGTAATAAGACATCTAAGTAGAAGAGCTTCTAAAGAATAAATAATATTGAAAAACTGACCCATCTATCAATCAAATGTGTCTGATATCCTCTTTTCATGTGCTCCTCATAGACTTTCTTCAAGCTCATGACCAAACTTTGCTAATCAAAAATGTATTCTAACAATAATAATATCAGGCTAATTTTATCTTCTTTTGCAGTTAATTACTGAAATAAGACCGATCACAAAAGACTGGTCTTGTTAATGGTTGATTAGAATAAGATGCATCTGGAATTAAGTACTTTAAGTTCACGCTTTTCTTAAACCAGTAAATCAGTAGGACAAGTCATATAAAATATAAAACACGCATCAGTGGACCCCAGTCCCAGACATCTATCTAGATTTCCACAGGAACAGTGTCTGTTTAGATTTGCACTATTTTCCTTTCTGAGCTTGAAAAAATAAGGAAAAATCCAATAAAAATTTCTAGTTTAGACAATATGTATGTTTTGGCTTATTTTATACTGACCTCGGGTTCTGTTCAAAGAATTTATTAAAGATCTGTTGTATATAATTATCATATTTTTTAATCCAGCTAAACCAAGAAAGAGTAGATATGCATTCTTACATCTTGATTTTTAAATGAAAATAGTATAGCAAGGAAAAAATGATATGTATCACTTTCAATATAATAATTTTGAAGGGAAGTGCCAGTAGACAGTAGCCACTACTCTGGAAAAACATGAGATGAAGAGATGAAGGAGACCACTGTAAGGGCATGAGCCCAGGTCAGGAGGTTTAGACAATGCTTTGGCATCCAAGTTGACCATTTTAAACTTTTCCCTAAGATAAGCCAAACAACCAAAAAAGAATTTAATTCCTAGTCCAACGGAGGCATTCCAGTTATGTTCATTACCAGTCATTCTCATGTTTACAAGAAAATGCAAGTCATGGAAATCCTATATTGAGATGTAGGGTTCAGTTATTAGGGGAAGTCATAGTTATTTCTGATTATCGTCATTTTTATTTTTCTAAATTGTTTAAATTAGATGTACATAACTTTTTGAATCACATGGGTTAGTTAGAAAAAAATTACAGAAATTTATTTGTAAATCATACAAGAGAATTGACAGGAATAATGAACAGGAGATGCAAGAGAGCATCTGAAAAATTTTAAACTAATGGTTATAACAAAAACAATCACTTTTTAAACTAAACTATAGTGACACAAAAAATATTTGTTATTATAATATTTATATATAGGGAGAGAGAAAGAGAAAGTGATAGGGAGACATAGTGTGTGTGTGTGTGTGTGTGTGTGTGTGTGTGTGTGTGTCATTGAATGTTCCATTATCCTGAAACACTACCCTGTTGAGCTTTTTTCTTAACTTTTATTAATCATATAATTTAATTCCAATATTTTGTAGAAAAAAAGGAACAATTCTGCCCACCGCCACCTCAGATACCTAATGCTCAGAATATGACAACCACAATGAATTATCAGGATGGAGAAAAAGTAGCTGTTCTCTGTAAAGAAAACTATCTACTTCCAGAAGCAAAAGAAATTGTATGTAAAAATGGACGATGGCAATCATTACCACACTGTGTTGGTTAGTAGTTTATTTCTAAGTAATTTCACTTAAAAAGAGGTTATTATTCCCCTTTGCTTTATCTAAAGAAAGAAAAAAGAACTTATGACTAATCTATTGCACTGTACCCTAAAGCCTTAAATTGCTAAGTAACCAATTCTGTCATTTAAAAAGTTTCTCGGCCGGGCGCGGTGGCTCACGCCTGTAATCCCAGCACTTTGGGAGGCCGAGGCGGGCGGATCACAAGGTCAGGAGATCGAGACCACGGTGAAACCCCGTCTCTACTAAAAATACAAAAAAATTAGCCGGGCGCGGTTGTGGGCGCCTGTAGTCCCAGCTACTCGGGAGGCTGAGGCAGGAGAATGGCGTGAACCCGGGAGGCGGAGCTTGCAGTGAGCCGAGATCGCGCCACTGCACTCCAGCCTGGGCGACAGAGCGAGACTTAGGCCGAGCGCGGTGGCTCAAGCCTGTAATCCCAGCACTTTGGGAGGCCGAGACGGGCGGATCACAAGGTCAGGAGATCGAGACCATCCTGGCTAACATGGTGAAACCCCGTCTCTACTAAAAATACAAAAAAAAAAAACTAGCCGGGCGAGGTGGCGGGCGCCTATAGTCCCAGCTACTTGGGAGGCTGAGGCAGGAGAATGGCGTAAACCCGGGAGGCGGAGCTTGCAGTGAGCTGAGATCCGGCCACTGCAGTCCAGCCTGGGCGACAGAGCGAGACTCTCTCAAAAAAAAAAAAAAAAAAAAAAAAAAAAAAAAAAAAAGAGTCTCTATGCGTTATCTTCAACAGTGTTCATAGAAGAAACAAGTTTGAAATTTCTACATCTTCTTAAAAATCTTTTCTAACATATTTTTACTGTACCTTTTCTATGTTTAAATATGTTTAGATATGCAAATATTTACCATCATGTCACAATGGCTCTATAGTATTCAGTACAGTAGCATGCTGTACAGGTTTGTGGCCTAGGACAGTGATACCCAACCCTTTTGGTATCAGGGACCTGTTCTGTGGAAGACAATTTTTCCATGGACTGAGGAGGTTAGGGGATGTTTTCAGGATGAAACTGCTCCACCTCAGATCATCAGGCATTAGATTCTCATAAAGAGCATGCAACCTATATCCCTTGCGTGTGCAGTTCACAATAGGGTTCAAGATCCCATGAGAATCTAGTGCCCCGGCTGATCTCACAGGAGGTAGAGTTCTGGCAGTAGTGCTCGTTCGCCCACCACTCACTTCCTGTTGTGCAGCCCACTTCCTAAGAGGCCACAGAGGGTACTGGTCTGCAGCCAGGGGTTTGGGGACAACAGGAGCAATAGGTTACACCACATAGCCTAGGTGTGTAGTAGACTACATTATCTAGGTTTGTGTAGGCTCACTCCATGATGCTCACACAAGGAAAAAAGAGCCTAATGACACATTTCTCAGAATATCTTCTTGTCATTAAGTGCTACATGGCTGCATTTCAAAAACACGTATTTCAAAATATTACCTGACAGTACATCAGCTACATCAAGGAGTGCTTAGTGCTGGACAAGATGTCTGATAATTGAACAATCTATTTTAAACTAAATAAAAACCATTGGTAATTTTGCCTAGAGGTATTTCCATAGGGAGTGAGTAAATAATTGCACTGTGTTCAAGAAAGAATGTGGGGTGATAAAGTAAGATCGTGGAGGATGAGAAACAAGTAAATGTATTCGAAAGGGGATAGAGAAATGAGGCAGTTGCCTGATAGAAGATATGGATAAAGTGAAATTTTACCTTATTGAATTGTGACATTTTCAGCATGTTTGTAGGTTGGTGAATGGTTAAGTGGAGAGGGAGAAATTGATGTTACAGAAGAAAGGAGATAATTCATGAAGAAGGGTCTTTTACTAGTTTAAAGGCTAAAGAATCTAGTGTCCTCATGAAGAAGTCAATCTTAGAAAGCAGGGACAGTAACTCAACGAAACAAGAGGAGGTACAAGTTACTTGGAACAGGATTACTTAGTGATTTCATATTTATGTTCTTGGTGACATATAAAGGGAGACCAGTCAGTACAATGGAATGTATTCCAACCAATCTTAGCATGAAGTTGTTTTTTTTTTAGTTTTCCCCAAAATCTCTTCATTAGCATGAAATTGAAACATTTATTGATAAGGAAAGATGCCTACAATATTATGTGGTATCAAAAAAGTAAATGCAGAAGAGTATGTCTGCAATTCATTTTCAGTAAAACTACAAGTTTATGATCATATACTAGTTGGTATATGCTATTTGCATAAAGTAATAATTACCCTGAGACTAGAAATGGTAAGAAAGTTGTTTACTTTTACCTTTCCTCATTAAATAACAATTGACTATTAAGGGGTGGAAGAGGAACCTAGACCAGAAGTTTACTCACCTGTCTCTCCTGCCTTAAATAAAAACTATTCCTAGTATTTTATGTGAGTTTCACTTTAACATGAAAGGAGCTACGATACGTTTTGAATCAGACTTTATAACAGAAATACTGTAATTAATTATTTGAATTTCCAGACGCCTTATATTAAAGATATGATACATGGTGCTTTATGATATTACTTTGTTTAAACTAACATACTGACTGTCTCTCAACAAATAAATGCTATTTTCCAGAGTCTACAGCATATTGTGGGCCCCCTCCATCTATTAACAATGGAGATATCACCTCATTCCCATTATCAGTGTATCCTCCATGGTCAACAGTGACGTACCGTTGCCAGTCCTTCTATGAACTCCAGGGCTCTGTAACTGTAACATGCAGAAACAAACAGTGGTCAGAACCACCAAGATGCCTAGGTGAGTTCTTCATATTCTCTCGGAATCTGAGATTTAATATTCATAATGTAGTTTTTATGGACTAATTTCATAGAATAACCCTTAAGTTTCATTCAGTCAAAATCTTTCTTGTCAAATGTAAATACATACAAAGAAACATTTGAAAAATTTGCTTTAGGCAAAGTGAGAAAATTTTTTTTAAAAACTATAAATAAAATTTTAAAGACCTATGTGTGATAAGGTGCATTATGAAATTCTATAAATAGAGACCAAAGCTATTTATGGGGCCTATTCTCATACCATTAACTATCTTCATGTTATAAGCATCTACCTGAGAACTTCGCACAGAGACCATTTGAAAAATGTTGGTCTAGGAAAGCTGTCATTTAATACTGTATAAGGTCCTACTTGTAAACCTGAAAGCTTTCCCTAGTAGAACATCCAGTTGACTAATACTGACATGGCTTTTTACTTGCATGTTGCCAGAATTTCTGGCAGGAGAGATAGAAAATCTGGAAGAGTTATTGAGCCACTTTCCAAATCTTCACTATCCTTTCTTTTCACCCTATTTTTTTCTACTACAAAATAATGTCAATATACATGTTAAGTTTCCACAAATTCATGTGCACTTTGTGGCATTAAAAAAATTAACATAGTAGACTCCTTATGAAAACCTGGAGATTCACTTTTGGGGTTTAAAAGGAGATTCTTTTATTGGTCATGACAAACTAAAAGCGACAAGATACAAAGAATATGGGCGAATTAATAACACCAATTATGGGAAAAGGATGAACGTCAGTTTACTCTAGAATAAGCGGAAGAAAACTGTAATTTCCATAAACCCCTCTGTTTTCTGGTGTCCAAAAGAGACATCATGATAATAAGGATCTGTTCCTGCAACAGTTCTCACTATTGCCCAATGCCTCGATTCACAGGGCTAGACCAGAAGTTTCTTATAGTCTTGAAAATTCATCCTTCTGATGATGTCTCCTTCTTCCACCTTCTGTCGTAACAAATTACCCCAATGCCACTATGGCCTATACAGTGCTTCAAACCACTACTCTACGTGAGTCCCCTCTCCCAGGATATCATTAAAATTGTGTGGGAACTGAACTCAGAAAATGTTGAGTTAGTATAAGGCAGAAGTATCATCTGAACAATTTTGATAGAATGTAGAAAAACTAGGTTTCAAAGGTAACTTCCAGGGTTTAAGTTGGAGGGATTGATGGATAGACAAAAATGCCGTTATCTAATATTTTAAGTGCAGCAAAGTTTTAGATGGTCCAATAATTTAAAATAGGCAGAAATTATCATGGCCAGTGATCATAAAATAAATTTCCAAAAGAAAAGCAAGAACAAACTTTGTAGCCTAAAAAGTGTGTACCATGTGGACAATCAGAGTTTGTGGGAAGGTCCTTCTAGCAAAAAGAAACAGTATTTTGAGCAATGACAAACACACAATTACAAAAACAAACAAGCAACAAAACCCATCAAAGGTATCTAGACAATTCAAGGAAACATGATCTAAATATGAAACGTAAAATAATTTTATTTCCTATGAGATAGGAGATTAAGATTAGACAGCTCTGAAGAAATAATTTTTTCCAGCCAGGCGTGGTGGTTCACGCCTGTAATCCCAGCACTTTGGGAGACCAAGGTGGGAGGAATCACCTGAGGTCAGGAGTTTGAGACTAGCCTGACCAACACGGAGAAACTCCATCTCTACTAAAAATACAGAATTAACTGGGCATGGCTGGCATATGCCTGTAATCTCAACCACTTGGGAGGCTGAGGCAGGAGAATCGCTTGAACCCGGGAGGCGGAGGTTGCAGTGAGCTGAGATTGCGCCATTGCACTCCAGCCTGGGCAACAAGAGCGAAACTCCATTAAAAAAATAATTTTTTCCAAAACCAGACATAAATTTCTTTGGATGGTTTGTAGGTATTGAATGAAGTAGGGAGCCATTACATATTTTTAATAGCAGTTTCTTGACATAGTATCTTTTTTTATTTTTATTTTTTTCAAGACAAAGTCTTGCTCTGTCACACAGGCTGGAGTGCAGTGACATGATCTTAGCCCACTGCCACCTCCACCTCCCGGGTTCAAGTGATTCTCCTGCCTCAGCCTCCTGAGTAGTTGGGATTACAGGCACATGCCACCATGCCCGGCTAATTCTTGTATTCTTAGTAGAGACAGGGTTTCACCATATTGGCCAGGCTGATCTCGAACTCTTGACCTCGTGATCCATCCACCTTGGCCTCCCAAAGTGCTGGGATTACAGGCGTGAGCCACTGCGCCCGGCCAAATGTAGTATTTTAAAATTATCAGTTGACTAAGAACATGTGGTTATTTTATACCAAGAAAACATGCAATATGGGGAAATTATTTAAGGCCTTGGCAGAGATAGATTAGGGTCTCGATTAGTAGGTAAAAAACAGGAACCAAATGAAAGAGGGGTTAAAGATAACTTCAGAATTTCTCAATTTATGGGGAATATTCTCAGGTGCTTAACACATAAGAATATTTACAAATCAATCAAAATTCAATATAAAAAATATGTAGGGTACATAAACAGAAAATGAAAAACATACGGCAAACATGAAAAAATGCTTGTCTACGCCAACATAAAATTTCAATGAAGTGGCAATGTTCAACTAGGAAATTGGCAAAAAGAAAAAAATATATAACATAAAGATTTGGCAAGGATGTGGGGAGTTAAGCACTCTAATATACATAAAAGTGTATAATTACATATACATGTGTGTATACATAATAGAAATATATATTACATATTACATATATTTTTAACATATGTGAATACACCTATACACATAATACACATAATATATGTATTCATATAATATGTTATATATATTATATTTACTATATAATATACAAATATATATTTATACATTAGATATAAATTGATTACATTACATTAGATATAAATTGTATGTAACATTATATGTATAAAATTAACAAACATATATTACAATTAACATACATATAATGGTATGTGTTATATATACAAATTATATTATATATTATATATTTATATAAGATATATATAAATATATATAAAATACTGATTTTAAGAAAGAATGAGTGATATCTGTGGTCAGGGAAGAAGATAATACTCTTTTTCCTACAGAAATCAAAGTTTCACAAAAGTTAAGATTCACAGATAGTTACATAATAAAAAGGGATATCTAAACAAACAACATTCATGCTGGTAGAATTTTTAGTAAAGTATAGCAATTAAGAGCTCAGGCTCTGAACTCATAATGGCAGGATCCATATTCTGGCTCAAAACACTGACTAAACTGTGTGGCCTTGAGAAAATCTTTTAGCATTTATTTCCTCATATGTAGCCCATACACAGTGCTAAGAACACCACCAAGAATAACTCAATCAATATTATTTTTAAATAAATATTAATATTTTTCATCATTTTAATTCCAAAATACTCTTAAATGCAATTTCACTATTCTATGAAAGGTAAAGATGTATTATTATTTATTTATTTTATTGTACCATTTCTTCTTTCAGATCCATGTGTGATATCTGAAGAAAACATGAACAAAAATAACATACAGTTAAGATGGAGAAACAATGAAAAAGTTTATGTAAAAACAGGGGATGCTGTTGAATTTCAGTGTAAATTCCTATATAAAGCGAAGATATCATCACCATCATTTCGAGCAATCTGTCAAGAAGGGAAATTTGAATATCCCATATGTGAAAGAAGCGAGCTTAATTTTCCTGAATAAATTCTTAAAACATACATCTATGCTAAAAGTAGCCATTATGTAGCCAATTCTGTAGTTACTGCTTTCATTCTTTCAGGTGTTGTTTAACTCAGTTTTATTTACAACTCTGGATTTTCAGAGTTTTTGAAATTTGTAAGCTGAGAGAACAATGCTTCACTTAATAAGAGGGGGTCTTAGTCCATTTTACATTGTTATAACAGAATATCACAGACTGGGTAACTTCTAACCAATAATTTATTTGTTTCATAAATCTAAAAGCTGGGCAGTCCAAGATTGAGGGGCTACATCTGGTGAGGGTCTTCTCAAAGCATCATAATATGGTGGAAGGTATCACGTGGCAAGAGAGCATGTACATGGGAGTGAGAGAAAAAGGGAGAAAGAGAGAGAGAGTGGTGGGGGCGGGGAGGAGGATAAACTCATCCTTAAAGACACCACTCCTGAGATAACAATCCAATCCCATGATAATGGCATTAATCCATTCAAGAAGGCAGAGCTCTCATGACTTAATCACATCCTAAAGGGCTCACCTCACAACACTGTTGCATTGGGAGTTAAGTTTCCACATAAACTTTCGGGGACACATTCAAACCACAGGAGAAAGTCATATTATTCCTGGGCAAATCACAATATGGGGAATTGTATTCATAAATGTCCACAGAGACAGTAAATGTTCTCGCTTCAGTAATAATTCATCTAATCCCTCCTGTTTGTCTCAAATTATAAGATAACTTTGAAGCTTTCTGAATTAACTTTATTTAAGAGGAAACGTAGATGTTATTTTAGTCTCTATCTTCATGTCATCATCACTTAAAAACCTGCAAAAGCTGTCAACTTTTGTGGTTGTAGCAAGTATTAATAAATATTTATAAATCCTCTAATGTAAGTCTAGCTACCTATCTAATACTGAATACCCCTTAAAGTATTAAATGCCCCATCTCCTATAAAAGAGTAGACTTTGAAGTTTTAACCAGTTCTTCTGTGGAGCTTCTAATCTAGTCAAGAGGTGATATACACATACGAAAAGATGAAAATTATTTGGTTACAAAATTGCATATACAGAATTATCTAGATGTGTATAAACGGTTGTAGAAGAAAGAGTGAGAGAAATAAAAATGATGGCTTTAATAATTCTATATGGTTTAGGTTTAAAAAATTAAAATAGGATGGTCACAGTGGCTCACACCTGTAATCCTAGAACTTTGGAAGGCCAAGGCAGGTGAATTGCTTGAGGCCAGGTGTTCGAGACAGCCTGTCCAACATGGCAAAACTTTGTCTCTAATAAAATACAAAAAAAAAAATAGCCAGAGAAGGTAGTGCATACCTGTGATTCCAGCTACTTGGGAGGCTGAGGCAGAAGAACCTGGGAAGCAAAGGTTGCAGCATGCCAAGATCATGCCACTGCAGCCCATCCTGGGTGACAGAGCAAGACTCTGTCTCAGAGAAAGAAAGAAAGGAAGGGAAAGAGAGAGAGAAAAAAAGAAAAAGGAAGGAAGGAAGGAAGGAAGGAAGGAAGGAAGGAAGGAAGGAAGGAAGGAAGGAAGGAAGGAAGGAAGGGAGGGAGGGAGGGAGGGAGGGAAGGAGGAAGAGAAAGAAAGGAAGAAAGGAAGAAAAAGGGAAAAAAGAAAGAAAAGAAAGAATATTTTCAAATTTTTCACATTTTCCCAAATTTTACATTTTTCATGTTGAACATATATTACTTTTATATTCAGAAGAGAGTAATCAAAACTGTCACTAACAAACAAGGCAATAGAAGATGGGTATAAAGACCATGTTAGTCATGATGCTGATTTCATGCAACAACTTTATTATTTTTTGATGTACCATAGTTTGGGAAAATACTAAACAGGAAGTATTAGAAATATATTTTAGATATTCCTGTACTTCACACAGCATTTCTTAATTAAAATATTTTTGGTCAGAAGGTTTTTTTAGGTAGCCTGGAGGATGGAGGCTGCAGTGAGCCAAGACGGTGCCACTGCACTCCAGACTGGGCAACACAGTGAGACTTTGTCTCAAAAAAAAAAAAAAAAAAAAAGATTTTTAAAAGTATCTATTAAAAATATGACTAGTAAAACAGGTAAAAATTAAGACTTAAAATATTCATCACCACAGATTTGACAATTGATTCTTAGATATCACACCAAAACCACAAACAAGAAAATATAAAGTACAGAAATTGCATTTTCTCAAAATGTAAAATGTCATGCTTCAAAGGATACTATTGAAAAAGGAAAACAGAACTCACACAATGGGAAAAAAATATTTGCAAAATTGTATATCTCATAAAGTACTTGTATCGAGAATATATGTAAGGAACTTTTACAACCACAAAAAAAGAGAAATAAGGCAATTTCAAAATAAGCAAAGGATTCAAATAGACATTTCTCTAAAGAAGATATATAAATGGCCTATAGGCACATGAAAAGATGTATAACATCATTAATTATTAAGCAAATATGAATCAAAACCACAGTGAGATAACACTTCACACCCTCAAAGATAGGTATAAGCAAGAAGTCAGGTAATAACAAATGATGTCAAGGAAACTGGAAGCAACACACACTTCTGGTGGGGATACAAACTGGTTTGACCAATTTGGAAAACAAGCTGCAGTTTTTTAAAAAGCTAAACAATAATATTGCCGTTAATTCAGCAGTCTACTCCTAAATTCACACCCAAGATAAATTTTTAAAAATGTGTCCACAAAAACACTTGTACACATATGTTTATAGCAGCATTATTTGTGTTAGCCAAAAGGAGGAAACAATCTAAATGCTCATCAATTGATGAATGGGTAAACAAAATGTGGCATATCTAAACAATGGAATATTATTTGGGCATGAAAAGGGAATGAAGTGATAATAGATGCTATAACATGGATGAACGTTGAAAATATTCTGCTAAGTGTAAGAAGCCAGTCACAAATGACCACATATTATGATTCCATTTTTATGGCATGTCCAGACTAGGCAAACATATAGAGATAGAAGGTGGATCTGTGGTTGGTTAGGGTTAGAGCTGAAGGAGAGAGGTTAGAAGCTGATAGCCAAAGTGTACAGGGTTTCTTTTTGAGGCGATAAATATTCTAAAGTTGATTGTGGTAATTGTTGTAAAACTCTGTGATTATATTAAAAAAATTAAATTATACCCATTAAGTGGGTGAATTGTATGGTATGTAAATTATATCTCAATAAAGACGTGACAGAAAATAGCAGTAAATGTTTACAATTCATGAGAAGGATACACTGGAAATTTAAAAACTAAAAATAGTTTTAAAATTTAGGCTTAGTAGCAGAATGTAGAAAAAATTATCTGGGGTTGAATAAAAAAATAAGAATTTGTTACTCACACTTGCTATCTATTGAAACAGCCGGCTTCATGTCTAGGAAGAAGGCAGGTAACAGTTTTCGATTCTGAGGGGGAAATCTTGAATACAAATATTACCTGAAACTTAAATATATATATATGTGTGTGTGTTTTATTCTGAGTAAAATCCTAACCTTATTTTATTTTATCTTTATTTTTATTTTTGTAGTGATGAGGCCTTACTATGCCACCCAGGGTAGTCTCAAAGTCCTGGCCTCAAGCCATCCTCCCACCTCAGTCTCCCAAAGTGCTGGGATTACAGGCAAGTGCACCACACTATTCCTGTAACAGTATTTTAAACCTAAACACTCCCTCTCAGTTCCTGAGAATTTTTCTAAGTTTCTCAAGCTATTCTGTGACACAATCTAAAGCAAGGTGTTTGAACAACAATATAGGGCTCGTTGCTTCACTTACCTTACTACTCCCCTCCAAAGTATAAAGGAAGCCAGACTAGCAAAAGGACTGAAATTAGAAATTACAGAAAACATTTCCTTACAGATATTTGTCAGGCGTCGTGAGTACCACAATCGCTTTTCTTGGGGGAGATGGGTAGAGCTTCATTCCCCATTCCCTCCAGTGTAATAAGAAGGGCTTCAAAGAGATTACTTGGGTGGGTTAATCAAGAAAAGACTGACAAAGCCTCCACCCCGACCGCCACTTGGCTCATCCCCCTACTGGAAATCTAAATCCTTTTTTAATAGATAGTAAAATGGTATGTGGTGGAGAAAATGAATTCCTGGAACCAAAACATAAAATGCAAAGGCTGATAGGATTATAAAATGAAAGCTGAAATGTTTAAGCAGGTTTTATGTAAAGTAGTTGTGTATCCTTTACCTAAATGTTTCGTGGAAATGGATATTGTGTCTGAGGAATGTTTCCGCTGCCTAGGACTGTAAAACAGGACGTATAAATCAGCCCTGTGAGCAATATTAACTGAACGTGCTAAATGGGAGCCAGTAAGATTGTCCAAGCCTAGAGTTTAGAGTGAAAGTTGAGAGTGCTGGTGGGGAGGAATCCTCCACTTGAGAGCCCTTTGTGGAATGTTCACTGGGACTGATGGCAAAAGCCTGTGAGTACCTCCCAACAGCAACTACTAGCGCTTTAGAGGAGAGAACTTTCCACTTTCAGGGCATTTACTGCATTGCTATGGGAAAGTACCCTTCTGCAAATGGAAATAGCAGTGCACAAGACTTCCATAATAAAATGGAAATGATTTGTATAGGACCTTGCTACTTGGGGAGCACAAGGAGGAGATTCTAAGAATCAGGGAGCTACTTTTTCCCCTTGGCCTGACTTTTTCTCCCTTGGCCTGACTTTTTCAATTCCGACTTGACTTATGGATGACAATTTAAAGGTGAACAAATGACATCCTGTTTGGAAGCCGCTACTCTGTTTGAAAAAGCCTCAAGAAAACCTTTTTATTTTGAGATATTTATAGCTTACCAAGATTGAGTACAGTATATTTTTGTGAGCAAAATTTACCTTCTCTCTATCCAAGATCTCCAAAACTTGGAAACTATTCATGAGTATTTTTCTTTTAGAGAAATATAATTATTTGCAAAAGTTCACTAAGAATCTGTTTTATTTTGTAACAGGATATAACTGGAGACACTAGTTATTTTACCAGGACTTTGACTGAAATGGCATATTTTCAGATATGACCAG